TCCTCCTCCTCCTCCTCCTCCTCCTCCTCCTCTGTGGCCCCCCCCGCAGAGGCGCTGATGGCCATCCAGCAGGAGTCGGCCGTCGCGCCGGCGGCCACGCCGTCCCCGCTGCCTGTCTCTGGCGGCGCCGTGGCGGCGGTGCCGCGTCTCCCCGGACCCCTGCTGGGAGGAGTGGCGACGGGGGGCGGGGAGACGGCGGTGCCGATGGGCGTCGCCCCCGCCGCTCGCCCGCCCGCGTCTCTGGGGGGGGGGGAGGGCGGCAGGCGGTGCCTCGATCGGCGCTCGTGGCCCGAGCCCTGCGTCTGGAACGGCCTCGAGTCTGTGGGAGGTTGCCCGTTGTGGCGGGCTGGCCCCCCCCCCCCGCCTCGGGCGGCCGCGGACGCGCACGGCCCGCTCTCGGCCTCTCGGGGGCGGCCAAGAGGGGGGTGAGGAGCAGGGGCGGGGGTTATGTCATTCAGGAGTCTCTCGGCTTCTCTCTTTCAACTGTAGCTTGCACACTCATGAGACTTGCGGCGAATCTCGGCGGAACCCCCAGAGTGGCGGCAACGGGGCGGCCCCGAGGGGGCCACGGGCGGCGGCGCTGCGAAACTGCGGCGGACCCCCCGGGTGAGCGGCGGCCTCGAGGCGGCCACGTGGCGAAGCCTCGCAGGAGCTCCCAAGCGGGCGGTGACGGGGCGGCCACGGGCGGCGACGCGACGAAACGTCGGCGGGCCATCCATTTCGTGTGTGACAGAAGGAAGAGCCGCCGATGGTGAGCACTGTTTTGGGGAGCACGACAGGTGTCACGCCGCCAGGCCAGCCCGACAGTATCGCTCATCAGCGACTGATTAGACACAAAAGGCGACCTCGCAAACGTGTTTTCAAAAGTGTCAGCCTGCATGGCAACACAAAGTGGAAACATCATCGCACGGTTACTTTATCAGCATCCCGTCTGGTCCCCCCCTGTCTCACCAATCTCCAGCCACAGCATCTTGACGATCCGAAATTGAGGGGTATGAAGGAGCCATGCCAGACGAGCGCGACAAGCCATGGCAGCAAGCGGACGATGCCAGCCGAAAACGACATGCTACATGTTGCCCGCCGCTGGACAGGTTGAGACTCTCCAGTTCAGCCAGCTGGCTGGCAGATTCAGCCAGCTCGGCAGGTTCAGCCAGCTGGCTGGCAGATTGAGGCTCTCAGTTGGGCCTGCCCGCCCGTGCCGCGCGTCGGCGGGGTCGCAAACGCTAGTCCACATTCCGCGACGGCCCTGGCCGCGGCCTGGGGCGGAGCGCAGCCTCCAGGAGGGGGGTGAGGGGTGGGGGAGGAAGAGGAGAAGGGGGAGGAGGGACCGGGAGGACGAGGCACTAGCGGGAAGGGGGGGCCAATCAGGCAACGGCCTCCATTTGCCCCTATCTCATTGCCTCCGCCGCGATCTGCTCTGCCCCATCTAATGCTTTTTTGTCTGGATCAATACATTCGGCGCGGGCTCCGTGCATGGGGGACGGATGCCGAAGCTTTCGGCGGGGGCCGCTCGAAGAATCTGATTCTGGTTTGGGCTTGGCGCCGGCCTCTTTCGATCATCTCTTTGCTGGTTCCTGGAAGTGGGCGTAGCTACGTAGTCTCATTGGGGCCGGTAGACTTCGGTCGGTTACTGGCCACCGCCCCCTCCACGTCCTCATCCGTATGCTTCATTGTATCCTCCACCATGTTTCCCACTATCTCTCTCTGTTTTCCTTCCCCCCGTCCTCTCGCTACCCCTGCTTCCCCAAATCCCCTGGCTGTTTTTGATGGAATACAGTTGCCAACATTGCAGGAGAGCTTGTTGCTGATGATGCTCTTCCTGTTTTTCTCGCTGCTCTCCGGGATGTGCTTGCTGAACATGCTGATCGGTGCCTGGGCTGGGGGGCGGAGGAGGGAAAAGAGGCACGTCGGGGAGACGAGGGCGGAGGGGGGGAAGAGTAAGAGGAGGAGGATGAGGAGGAGGAATGGTGAGGATATGTGCAATGCTCGGCGACACTCAGGGCGGCGGAGGGGGATACTGCAGGTCTGTACAGATACGAGACGTATGGGTGATATGAATCCATGTGCATATAGCTGCATCAGTGGTATATTTGTGTGTGTAAATCATATGTTCCATAATCATATATGTGACGGCTATTGGGATGTGGGGAGGGTGCCTACTCGACATGCCAACCTGCCCCGAAGCGGGACGACTGCACTCCGATAGGTTGCTCGATTGTGTCATTATTGCACAGCCAGCGGCAGGACGTTCCCCGAACAGGGCTTGCACCAACGCCGGTCTCCATACCATCTTTCCTGCAGGTTGCGGAGACCAGGATTCCCTTATCAGCTGGAAATCTGGCAGTGTAGATCTCCCCCTGCGGCCGAGGTCTCGGCCACAGGAAACACAGGACGAGCTCGCGCAGGTGACATTTCTTCTTGCGGCTTTCGCCCAAACCTTCAAGGCTCCTGGAGCCTGGATCGCAAGGTCCCAGGCTGTCTCGTGCTCGACTCCAAGATCTGCACGATTATCGGAGGGGCCCATGGAGACTGATGGAAGGTAAGGAGTTCCGGACTGGTCTGGAACTCTTGGCCCTCAGAGACGTGATCGAGGCTTGTGAGTGCCCGGATCGTTGGGTCCACAGTGACGGGATGCTCGCTGATAGGCTGACCAAGGGTCGCGATCTCTTGGCAGCTAGCGCATCAACGTTTGATGATCATCTTATCGAATTTGCAAAACGTTGCCACGGATTAGGAGTATAGACTCTAGAAAACGTTGATTGACTCGTTTATCGTTCAGATTGGTTGGTGACGCGGCTGACCCAACTGGAGGAGGCATTCAGGCCTTCTGTGTCATGTGGGAAGGTCTGCGCACTTGCCGAACCGTCTACGGACTTTGGCGAAGATGTTTTCGAGTCGGTGTCGATCAATCGAGTAGATTTCATTCGTTCCCTCCATAGTCAAGTGGCTGCAGGCCCGCAGCGGAGTCAGATGAGCTCCAGGGGTACGAGTGATCCCTCGTCTCTTTTCGCATAGCGAGCCCACAACCGTACCTACCTGCCTCTCCTACTCATCTCATATCAGGGCTGCAGCGGATGGCGCACGAGGGACGCGCCCATCGCCGAGGAGAGGAGGCGGCTGTGCGAAACACTGCGCCTCGCACTCTCTTCCCCATCCCTCCACCTCGTCGTCGTCGTCGTCGTCGTCGTCGTCGTCGTCGTCGTCCTCTTCTTCCTCCTCATCCTTCTCCCTCGCCATGCACTCCGACGACGACGACGATCACGACGAAGAAGACGACGGCGTCGACGGCGGCGGCGTTTACCCCCTGCCGCCCTGCGCACGCCGCTGGAGTGGCCCTCGCCCAGGCGTGCTGTGCCAGGTCATGCACAACACCTCGAGACGGGAGGCCACCAAGAGGCAGCAGAAGGAGATGGAGGCCATTTGGTCTTCCTCGATCCTCTACAGTCGGCCTGTATTAGTAGGCTGACCCTGCCGAATCAAGGGTACCCTTGTGTCCTGTGTCTCGCGTCCGTGCCCCCTGCATTCCTGTGGCAGTGTGGCCCTCGGAGAGGCCCGTGGCCTCTCGCGTGTCCTGTCCAGTCGAGTCCGACCTCACCCCGTCCTCCTCGGTTTGCGAACCCCGGCACTCTTCAACCGTCGACCCCCCATCCCACCTCCCCGTCCTCCTCGGTGCCCTTCTGCTCTCTCCTTCGCCCCTGTCCTGCAGAGAGAGAGAGAGAGTGCTGGAGGGAGGCAGGCGGGGAGGACCTGACGGATGAAGGTGCCATTGCTTGCGACGTGCCAGCGCATCATCAACACAGCCGCAACACCTGTTGCCCCCCCCATTCCCTTCTCCTCCCCCCCTCCTCCATGAGGGCTCCTTCGGGCTGAAACATTGGGAGGGACGAGGAGGGTTCTCGTTTGTTTTCTCGTTCGGTTCTCTTTCCTGGCGGCTGAGGGGACGCCTTACTGCACGCCGGACATAGCATGACGAGCAGCTTGTCCGAGAGGGTGGCTGTACTCACCCATCCTCCTCCTCGACCTCCTCCAGGCCGCTGCCTGCTTCTTCATCCTCTTTGGGGATGAGCTGAAGGCTGGCACTTACCCCGACGAGGTTTGCACACTCCCCAGCAGCTGCGCTGGCCCAGACGATTGCAAAAGCGGATCGGCCAGCGTGCCGGTCACGTGGCCAAGCGTGCTGTTCCTCTCGGGGCCGACCTCGCCCCGGGCCAGAGGCGTGACAGCAGGGAGGGGGCTTGGCCAGAGAAGACAGCGCTCTCACCAGAAACGGAGACGGCATCGTGTGAGTCATCGGCTTCGCCGCGGCCCTCCTCGTAACCGCAGGCGTGTGGGGAACATTCCTGTGGCTGGAGGCTTGCTCGCGGCCAGTTTTGGCTCGGCGGTGGCGGGGATGAGTGATTTCGAGCTTCAAGAGGCTCGTAGGGTTTTACTGTCTTGCCAATTGCCCAGGCACGGAGGCTGCTCTAGGCAAGCTCGTCTCGCTATCCTTGGGCACCCAATGTGGAGGCCAGCAGTGGCACCAGCGCTGCACTGGGCGGCGATCGTCTGGCTCGCCCCCACCTCCCCCAGCAATTCCCGGTATACAGTTCAGCAGTTGTGCCAGATGTGGAGGGCCGTGCCCTTTGACCACACCGTCTCCTGGCGCATGTCTAGAGGACCTTGGCAGCGTATTCACCCTTCCCTGCGCCGTGTGGATTGGACTTGTGTGTCCTTTCTCAGTCTTGCGGGTGATTATGGTAGGGAAGTTCATTTAGGTATACCACACCCTCCATGGTTGGACACATGCTGCAGTTAGCTACCCAACGGCAAGATGAGCGTAACCTTTCAAAGAGTATCCCCAATGTCCCTGGTCAAACGTTCTGTGTGGACCCCCTCAGGCGCCTCTTGGGGTCCAAAGGTAAGGGCCTTATGGCCCACGAAAAATATATGGCTCTCTCGGTTGTCTGCAAAGGCGTTTGGACTCGATCCAGGGCGAAGGCTGACAGCTACGACGCCGACGGCCTCAGTCCTCTTTGTGGGCTGCCAGACGGTGTACGACACTGAGGATGGCAGCGCTTGCACCCCGAGGCCGTCAAGGCCCGAAGGAGCGTCACCAATCATGCCCCTGCCGAGTAGCTCGCGGAGGCGCTCGAGAACAGAGCTGAAATGGGAGCACCCCGAGTCCAGGTTCAAGAAAGTTCTCTTCCTCCACCCCCAACTTTCGTCCGTGCATGAGCGTGAAGAGGTGGACAGGATATGTAGAATGCTTGTTTTTGCGGCTAGCGTCCCCGGCAACACCTTGGTGGTGTTCCCTCAGGAGAAATTCGGTCGTCCTCCCAAGGGTCCGAGGGCCAAGTGTTTGAAGTCTGGGGGTTGGCACGCCCGGGACGAGGTCGGTCAAGGTCGTGCCCGATGTCTCCGATGCCTCCACTATTCCTCGGGCCCCTCGGTGCGACCCATGTTAGGTTGTCAGGGCCTCTGCACAACTTGGCGGGGGGTCCTCGATCTCTCGAAGGGCCACGAGCTGGCCCGTTTCGTTGCTCAGAAGGGAGAAACATGTTTAACTATGTTTTGTGTGGCGTGTGGAGCGTGCACCGCACAGCGATGTCATCTCCTTGGTAAAGGGTGCTCGCGACGCAGACTTCTCGGGCGCACAGACCATCTTCCGCCGAATTGAGTTGGGCCTGTACCCACACTACGGAGAACAGTCCACGGCCAGTGTGAGCACGCGTCGTGGCGTGTCACTTCTGTGCAATACCGCCGCTTTGCCGCCGCCGCATGAGGTCAAGTTTGTTCCACCGTCATCCTCGGGAGTGATCAATACACCTGGGATGTTGGCCTCGCAGGCGCGTGTTCAGGCCCGCGAAGCGGTCCGCATGGCGGCCTCGCGCTCGTCCACCTAGGGTGGCCCTTGTTGTGTGCATGTGCGCACCATGGTCATGCCCCCCAGGAGACCGCTGATAGAAAAATCCTCCTCCTCCTCCTCCTTCGTTTCCTCATCCGCAGCTCCCTGCGCCTCCGCAAGACACGCAGGGAGAGGGGGGCGGTCCTCAGGGACGTGGCCTTCGGACCCGGGGGCCGCCGCGGGGCCGCGGAGCACCCCTGCCGACAGCCACCGCGGCTGGGCAGTGACTCTAGTAATTCTCTCTCTCTCTCTCTCTCTCTCTCTTCCTCCTCCAAGGACAGCGCGCACCGCCCTTCCTTCGCAGGACCGCGCGCCGACCCTTTTTTCCAGCAGCGAAGCGCCGCGAAGCGCAGCGAAGCGCAGCGAAGCGCAACACGCTCGGAAGGGGCGGGCGGCCTCTTGTCTGCTGCTCGCCGCGCCCGTGCTTCAGCAAACGTACACAGATGGTGATGGGCTTGTTTTCCACCACCACCACCATACGTTCGAGGGGGAGGGGGTCCTCCTCCTCCTCCTCCTCCTCCTCCTCCTCCACTTCCTTACCTCCATCCACTTCCTCCTCCTCTCCTCCTCCTCCTCTTCTTCTTCCTCCTCCCCCTCCTCCTCCCCCTCCACCTCCTTTTCCTTCCCCCCTCCGACTTATGGTGGTGGTGGTGGAAACCAGGCCCATCAGATGGGCCAGGGCGGCGCCGTGGCGAGGGGCATCGCGTCGCTTGCAGGGGTGCCCTGCCCGGGCTCGGTCTCCCGCGTCCGGTGCGGAAAGCGAACGCGCGCATGCGGGGCCGCTCGCCCCGCTGCTCATCCGCCCCCGCACCGCGCGTGCTCATCCGTGTCCTGTCCCCGCCCTCCTCGCCATCCCTTGCCTCCCTCCCGCCTCCCCTCATCTCCACCCGGCCTCGTCCTCCCCTCCGACTTCTTGCTTTTCAAGGCGGTCCGATGCATTTGTGTTGTCTCTCTTCCCTCGCCTCTCCCCCTCTCCACTCCAGTTCCCACTCCACTCAGCTCATGTTCTCTCCTGTTCTTCATCATGCCCCTACGCTCTTACCCAATGTCATCCCGCTCTCTCTCTCTCTCTCTCTTTCTTTTTCTTTTTCTCTTTCTCTCTCTTTCTCTCTGACTTTTTTTTTTCTCTCTCTCTCTCTCTCACACCGCCTGTCCTTCCCTTTTTGACCCTTCTCACCTGTATCCCCTTCTCATCCTGCCTCTCCCCTTCCTTCTCGTTCCTTCCACCTCCTGCACCTTCCTCTCCCTCCACCCCTTCCCCCCCCGTTCTCTTCCGCCCCCTCCCCATCCCCGCTGCCCCTCCTCCTTTCCCGCCCCCTCCCCCCCTTTTCCCTTCTTTCCCTCGCTCCTCTGCCGCCTCCTCGTCCCCCGTTCCCGCCTCGTGTGTGCAGGTGTCCTTGTGGACGGGGGGAGGCAGGAGATGGAGGAGGAGCAGGAGATGGGCAGGCAGGATATGGGGAGGCAGGAAATGGGGAGGCAGGAGATGGACCGCCCCTCTCCTGCGCGCAGGTGTCCCTGTGGAACGCCTTCGTGCAGGTGCCTTCCCCCCTCGCCCGGGGGAGGGGGAGCACGGCGACGAGACGACGCCGAGGAAGCAGAACGATCGACGACGAACGACGACGACGAAAACGAAGAACGACCGACGTCGATCGACGACGAACGACGACGACGATCGACGACCGACCGACCGACGGAACGACCGGCCAACCGAATGACCGACCGACCGACCGACGACGAGGAGAAGGAGGAGGACGATCCCGACGATCGATCGATCGGCGACGGTCGGTCGACGACGATGGACGACCAACGACGCACGAACGACGGACGAGCGAGCGGACGACGAACGGACGAGGAGGACGACGAGGACGACGACGAGGAACGACGCCGACGAGCGAAGCTGACCGACCGACGGGCGGCGAGGTGGACATCTCGGGCGACCGCACCGTGACGGAGGCCGCCGCCCCACGCCGCGGCGGCCGCGGCGAAGGGGCCCCGCGGGGGGGGGGGCGTAGGGAGATGCGAGGAGGGGGGTCTCCGCGCCGGCCCTCCCCGTTCGGGGGAGGGCGGGGGAGGGTGAGGAGGAGAGGAGGAGGAGGAGGAGGAGGGGGCGGAGGAGGAGGAGGAGGAGAGGAGGAGGAGTAGGAGGATAAAAAAGGAGGAGGAGGAGGATTGAGAGAGGAGGAGGAGAGGAGGAGGAGATGAGGGAGAGGAGTAGGAGGAGGAGGAGACTCACCAGGATTAGGAGGGGCAGGAGGGGCAGGAGGGGCAGGAGGAGCAGGAGGAGCAGGAGAAGCATGAGGAGCAGGATATTGATGATGATGTTGCTGCTGCTGCTGCCGCTGAGCAGGAGGAGGGGGAGGAGGGGGAGGAGGAGGAAGAGGAGGAGGAGGAGAAGGAGGATGGGGATGAGGGGGGGGGGAGGAGGAGGGGGCTTTGCTCAAGGGCTGTTTGGCCAAGTCCAGTCCTCAGGCCGCAGCACCCCGCGCCACGTGCGCCTCCGCCCGTGGGCCTTCGGGCCACCGCGACTGGGGGGCGGGAGGACTTCCTGCGGGAATCCCTCCCTGATGTCAAACTCGCTCGTGCGCCGCCGCCGTCTGCATGCCCCCGCGCGTACTGCGCCCAAGCCCGCGCGGCCAGGTCTCAGCCAGCTCCTGCAGGTTCAGTGTGTCCTCCAGCGCCCCGCGGCAGCCAGCTGGCGCTCATGCGCCACCGCATGCGTCGGAGAGTCCATGCAACCCCACGTGCTCGTCTAGCAATTGCCTGAAGCCTGTTCCAGACGTGCCGCACACTGGGCACGCGCTGCTGTCATAGCGCTCGTGCCCCAGCCACCACACCTCTGCAGGCACCCACCACACCGAGGAAGTGGTGGAGGAGGAGGAAGAGCAGGAGGAGGAAGAGAAGGAGGAAGAGGAGGAGGAGGAGGAGAAAGAGGAGGAGGAGGAGGAGTCAGATAAGGATAGCGCAGGCGGGTGTCAGGGAGGATGTGGTGGAGGGTGAGGATGATGAGGAGGAGGTGGTGGAGGGGGAGGAAGGCGATGAGGGATCTCCTCGCCGTTTTCCCCAGTCCCGGAGGGACGGGGGGGTGGGGGGGGTGCGTGGCGAGACCCGAGAGTTCTCAGGATGTGATTGCGCATTCGCTTCATCCTGGCTGGCACTGGAGCGTGTCGCAAGAACTTCTGGGTCCGATCTTCGGTGGCTTGAGCCAGAGGAAGACGCGTGGGGCAGGGGTCCCGGGAGGGGGTTGGGCAGGACGAGGAGGAGGTGGGACGCGGTAAAAGAAAAAAAACAGGGAGGAGGGAGCGGGAGGAAAGGAATGAAGGGGTTGGAGAAGAGCGAGGAGAAGGTATGCGCTGCGCCCACGCGTGACTGCCCATTTCAGACGAACGCTGCGCGGCGCTTGGGCGAGAGCGACATTCCCCACCCTGTTGTCGAGGACTTGGCTAGCAACACAGGCGCGTCGCATTTCTGTGGGAGCGCAGATCTCAGAAAAGAAGTGCGCGGCGCTGAAGCGAGGTCGACATGTCGCTCGCTCGCGCGTGATGTGATACGCGCCCCATTCTGGCCACGCACCTTGCGTGATCTGCTGGCGAGCAGGTTGGAAGGGTCCGCTCACGTGGGCTGAAGGATCCCCGATTCACATGAGGATGAGGACCGAGATATCGTCACCAACGGCGGATAGGGGGTACTAGAGAGGGTGGGATTCATGAGGAGTATGGGGGAGTAGCTGGGGCGTGAGGAGGAGAAGGAGGAGGAGCAGGAGGAGGAGGAGGAGGACGGGGCCAGACCGGGGATATAGGTATAATGGACGGATGGGCCGACGGAGGCATAGCAGAGGAAACGCATGTGTTTGTATTCGCAACCATCTTTTGGTGTTGAGTCTTCGGTTTGAAGGACAGCGCCCCGCGTCTTTCATCCGTTGCTCTCCTCCCTTCTCACATCCTTGCCTCTGGCCTCTGCATGTCCGTGGCCGCACACCCCTCACACGTTTCGTGCCCCCGTAGGGAGCTCCACTGAAGGCCCCAGAGGCGACGTTCGCATATGGGCGTCACGCCAGCTTCGGCACACCTCCCACGCGCTTCGTGGTCCCATGGAGGGCTCCACCTGACGCCTCAGTGGCGACGTTCGCATGTGTGCGTCACGCCCGTTTCTCGGAACACCTATCACGCGTCTCGTGGCCCCGTAAGGAGCTCCACCTAACGCCCCAGTGGCGATGTTCGCATGTGGGCGTCACGCCAACTTCGGCACACCCCTCACGCGCTTCGTGGTCCCACGGAGGGCTCCACCTGACGCCTCAGTGGCGACGTTCGCATGTGGGCGTCACGCACGTTTCGGCACACCTATCACGCGTCTCGTGGCCCCATCGGGAGTTCCACCTAACGCCGCCGTGGCGACGTTCGCATGTGTGCGTCACGCCCGTTTCTCGGAACACCTGTCACGCGTCTCGTGGCCCCGTAAGGAGCTCCACCTAACGCCCCAGTGGCGATGTTCGCATGTGGGCGTCACGCCAACTTCGGCACACCCCTCTCGCGCTTCGTGGTCCCATGGAGGGCTCCACCTGACGCCTCAGTGGCGACGTTCGCATGTGTGCGTCACGCCCGTTTCTCGGAACACCTATCACGCGTCTCGTGGCCCCGTAAGGAGCTCCACCTAACGCCCCAGTGGCGATGTTCGCATGTGGGCGTCACGCCAACTTCGGCACACCCCTCACGCGCTTCGTGGTCCCACGGAGGGCTCCACCTGACGCCTCAGTGGCGACGTTCGCATGTGGGCGTCACGCCCGTTACGGCACACCTATCACGCGTCTCGTGGCCCCATCGGGAGTTCCACCTAACGCCGCAGTGGCGATGTTCGCATGTGGGCGTCATGCCCGTTTCGCTACACCATTCACGCGTTTCGTGGCCCCATACAGAGCTCCATGTGAGGCCCCAATGGCGACGTTCGCATTTGGGACGTTCGCAATTGGGACGTTCGCATTTGGGCGTCACGCACATTTCGGCACACACCTCACGCGCTTCGTGGTCCCATCGGCAGCCACCAGTGGCACAGTTTGCATGCGGTTCCCCCCATTTCTGCACGTCTCCCACGCAGGCCCCAATGGCACCGTCCGCATGCAGCCCCCATCCCCCTCTTATTTCGGCATGGCCCTCGCGCGTTTCGTGGCCCCACGGGGAAATCCAATTTCGGCATGCCCCTCGTGCGTTTCGTGGCCCCATGGGGAACTCCACCGAAGACGATACAGCTGTGGTGTTCACAACTGCGTCTGGTTGGGTCCTTCGCCAGGATATGTATTGGAGTCTCCATGCGGACCTCGTCGCCATGCCCAGGCTCTCGCTTCAAAACCCTCGGCCAGAATGCGCTTCAGGACAAGGCTTGGACCAATTTTCAGGACAGGCTGGCAGACATTGCCCATTGGTTCAGTGGTCTGCGGGTCGAGTCGACCGCTTTAGCGGTGGGGGTCGCGTGCTACCCGACTGTCTCCGAGGTTCACGGGGCTTTGGGAGGTTGCTGGAGCTGGTGTGGAGACCATCGCAGAAGGAGCAGCAGGAGTCACAATTTCTGTCTCTCCTTCGTCCCTCCTCCCTCCCGCTCCCGCCTGGGCCCGCAGGACGAGTTCAAGAAGTTCCAGTGCATCCCCGATGCCCGCAAGGCCCTCTGCCAGATCCTCTCGGTCGACACGGACGACGAGATCCAGGATTCCTCCCACCTCCACCTCCTCATTTACTCCACGTCCACCACATCCTCCTCCCTCCCTCCCTCCCTCTCTCCCTCCTTCCCTCTCGGCCCTCCTCTTCTCCCTCCCTCCCTCCCTCCCTCCCTCCTTCCCTCCCTTCCTCCCCCCCTCTCTCCCTCCGTCCTCTTCTCTCGGCCGTCTGCCTCCCTCCCTCCCTCCCTCCCTCCCTCGGTTCCTCTTCCCTCCTCCTTCGCGCAGCCTAGTCCGCGCTCCTCCTCCCCATCCCTCCTCGCTCTCTCCAGCCGCCCTCTTTCCTCCTCTTTCCCGGCCTCCTCCCTCCTCCATTCCTCCCGCGTCAAGTTGATGCCTGCTGCTGATGCTGTTTTTTCCTGTTACGGCGGCGGCCAAAGCTTCCTCCCGCTGCTGCTGATGAGGCGGCAACCGTTTCCTCCTGCTGGTGCTTCTGATTTTTTTCATGTTACGGTCTGCCTAGGGGGCCCCCGAGGGATATCCTCCTTCTCCTCCTCCTCATCCTTCTCATCCTCCTCCTCCCTCGCCTGCCATTATCATACCATTTCTCTTTCTGTCGTGAGCCGCAGGCCGCACTACACACGGCCTGGGGACTTCTGAGAGTTGTTGTTCCGTGCTCCTCCGAGTTCCCCTTATGTATCATATGCGTTGCAGTAGCCGATCCGGTGACCAGCAGCGGCAACGATGGGAGGTGAAAAACCGCAATCCCCATCTAACTTTTGGCGCTCCGCGTGGGATTCTTGGATCCGCGCTGGGCCCCCCCGGTGGCGTGCCTCTGGCACCGCCCCTGGTGCGCTCCGCGCGCCAGGGAGCGGGGTCCAGCGCAGATCCAAGAAATCCGCGCGGAGCGCTACAAGTTTATATTTATGCCGTTTTGTCTTCTTCTCGACAACCTCCCACGCGCCCGATCCCGCCCTGTCCTCTCCCCTCCTCCGCGGCGAGCACTTCTGCGCGTCGCACGGCAGGGAGCCGCTCCCAGGCAGCGGGCTCGACAACCCGTGCCCGAGTCTGGCTGGCGCAGGAATGGTGTGGGAGTGGGGTGCCCATACAGTCGGCTGCCTCACGAGGATCACTTTCGTAATGGGCTCCACTCCGCTCCGCTCCTCCTCCTCCTCCTCCTCCTCCTCCTCCTCCTACTGTTCCCCACGGTGCCTATTCCTCCTGCTCCTCCTCCTGCTCCCTCCTTCCCTCCCTCTCCTTCCCCTCCCTCCCTCTCTCCTCGCGGTCGCCCGTACCCCTCCCTCCCTCCCCCCCCCTCCCTCCCTCCCTCCCTCCCTCTGCTAAGCGTGGGCTCTCGAAGCCATGTTCTTAGAATGTCTCTCTCGTCTCAACAGTGGGTTGTGGCCGAAGCTCCTCAGCGAAGCCGAGAAGCGCTCGCCACCTCCTTTCCCGAACAAGTGCGTGTGATAGCTTGTCTCTTGTCTCTTGTCCCTTCTCCTCCCGTCTTCCCTTGTTGTGATGAGGCCCAAGGCGTCCGGGGCCGCCAGGGAGGGGGGGGGGGGCACCCCGGACGGGGCTAGGACGAGGCTTCCTGGGAGGCCCTCGTCGCCACCGCTGGATTCGCCTCGAAGCTCCGGTCAGAACGCACCCCGGGAGAGGTCCAGGGAGTAGCGGCGTCGGTGCTTTGGGCTTCCCCAGTCTTCGTCCGAGGGCCGAGTGTGAGGGAGGGGAGCTCGAGAGAGTGAGTTGGGGAGAGGAGGGGGATGGGAGGTGGGAGGGAGGAACGATGGGGATGGAGAAGGGCAGGGGGCGGCGTGGAAGGGAAGGGATGGGGAGAGGGGATGGGTAGGAGGGGAGGGGAGGAGGCCTTGGCATCGCTCGGACGTGTGCATTTTTTCTCGTCGAGAACCATCGAGGACCATCCTGGACCATCGAGCAAAAAAACACGCACGAAATCGGGAAATGGACGTCCGAGCGACGGCAAGAGGGACGATGGGAGGGCAGGGGAGGACCATGGTGCACGGGCAGGAGGAGGAAGAGCCCAGCCAGGTTCAGGAGGAGCTGGGGGTTGAGGAGGAGGAGGAGGAGGAGGATGTTAGGAGGAGGAGGACGAGGAGGAGGATGATAGGATAAGGATGGGAGAAGAAGGAGGAGGAGGAAGAGGAGGAGGAGGGGGAGCAGGAGGAGGAGGAGGAGCAGGAGGAGGAGGAGGACAGGATAAGATAGGATAGGATAGGATGGGATATGAGGAGGAGGAGGAGGAGGAGGACAACGATCTGACCCCTCACGCCTGAGTGCGGCATGCCCAAGAGCAAGGAGCAGGACGAGGATCAGGGGAATGAGGACATGACAGGGAGTGCAACACGGCTGGTTGTCGACCTGATTGCCTCTTCCTCCTGATCCTCACTTGTCCTCTTGCTCTTCCTGTTCTCTACTCCTTCCTCACTGTATCCGTGTGTCATCCCCTTCCTCCTGATCATCACTTGTCCTGTTGCTCTTCATCCTCTTCCCTATTCCTCCCTGACCGTATCCGCCCTCTTCGTTATTTAATCGCTTCGCTCATTCCGCCGGCCCATACAGTCTCATGTCTGCCGTTTGCCCGAGGGCCTGGTGTCAATGCGGCGCTTTGGGGGTTCTTTTGCCAGGCGTCTCGGGAACCTCTTGGAGGCAGTATTGAAGTCTCTTGAGGCCCCGTAAGGGCCGTTTGGGGGTCGTTGGGGCTTCTTGTTGGGCTTCTTGGGTGGTTCTTGGGGCGTCTTGGGGGACTTATTGGCGGGATGTTGGTGGCTTCTGAGGTGCTCCTAGGGGCAGAATCCCCCTTTGGGCGCCTCTTGGGCGGTCTTGGTGCTCTCTTGTGCCGTCTTGGGGTTATCTTGGGCCGTCTTGGGCCGATTTTAGCGGATTGTTGGGCTGTCTCGGGGCGATGTTGGGGGCTATTAGCGTAGTCTGAGGCGCTGTGAAACTCGAAACGCCGTTCATGCGGGAAGTGTACATGTTCCTCTGGGAATGGGACGATTTTTGATTGTAATGGCCGTCTTGGAGGGCCTCTTGAGGCTCTCTTGGGGCTTCTTGGCGGCCTCGACGGCAATTTTGAGGTCATCTTGGGCGATTTGGAACGATTGTTCGGCGACTTGAGGCCGCTTGGATTGTTTCGGGGGCGTTCCGGTGCCGTTTTGGCGCGCTCCTGGAGCGTTCTGGGGGCATGAGCCGAACGTCGCGCTCTGGGCGGCGTGCGGAAGCCATTGTGTGAGAGGGCGCGGTGGTGAGAAGAACAGCTCACCCCACCCGGCTTTCCGGGCTTTCCGGCGTAAGGAGGGCTTCTTCGCGGCACTTGTGAACGCTCCTGGACAGTGCTTTTTGGGCAGGTTCTTGACGCTTGTTGCAAGTCTGTAGGGGCCCCGTTGGGAGTCTACCGAAAGGAGAGCACATTGTAGCATCGCTTGCACTTGCTTGCGTGCTCGGGGGGGCATTTGGGGGGCCTCCTGGGGCCGCTTGGGGGACTCTTGGGGGCCTCCTGAGGGCCTCGTGGGGGCCTCTTGGGGCCTCTTAGGGGCCTCTTGGGGCCTCGTGGGGGCTTCTTAGGGCCGAGGGCTCGAAAAGTTGGTTCGTGTTCCCTCTCTGGGGCCCCTGGGGGCGTTCTTGGGGCCCTTTTGGACCGTCTTGGAGGCTTCTTGGGCCGTCTTCGAGCCCTCTTGGGCCATCTTGGGGCCCTCTTGGGGGCCTCTTGGGCCCT